GAAATTATTAACTATTATTAACTATTATTAATTAATTAATAATTGTTTTATTATTAACTAAAAACTCGGCAGTCCCAACACTATAAGTATTCATTATATTTATTTGCTTTACATATATAATTACTATATATAATATATATAACTCACTTTGAAACAAATTATTAACTAACTTGAGTAATCTATATTACACTGAACAATTTGAAGGCGTGAGTGCATAATTGTTTCTTGCATACATAAATTAATAACCTCAAGTAGTGAAAGTATTAATGTTAATGTATCAAAGATTAAATCTTCGATATTTTTCAGCATATTCATGTATAGTTTCTTGTGCCCCAATAGTATTTACCCCACATTGAGCAAGCTTTTCATCTGTTAATCTTTGTAATTGTTTTACTAAAATTCGTTGTACTTCAAAATTTCCTAAAAAATCTTGGTAATAATAACCTGTTCCTTCCTTCTCATCTATTTTCATTAAAAACTCTGCCATGGTAGGTATAATAGGAGAGGCATGTGAATTATATTGAAAAGGTTGAGTCTGTAACGATAATGCTTGATATGAATTATATGGATTCAAAAATAATGGTTGATACGGTTGAAATAATTGAGACCAATTGTGCATTTGTGCTTGTGGTGATAAAAATAATGGTGCCGAAAGTAGTTGTGATGGTAAAACGAATGGTGCTTGTATTTTGTGGTATTTGTGATAGCAAACCTAATAGTGCTTGTATTTGGAAATATGAGGATGATGATAAAATTGGTTGAGTTGTTGGTGGTGGTAGCCATGTACTTAATGAAGAAGGTGAAGATAAAATTGGTTGAGATAGTAGTGGTAGCTGTGGACTTAGTTGAGATAGTGGCTATAGGTGTGTATTTGGTTGAGATAGTAGCGATAGTTGTATATTTGGTTGAGATAGTGGCAGTAGTTGTGTACTTGGTTGTGATAGTGGTGGTGACTTCGTACTTTCTGATAGCAAGGTAACGTGTGAAAGCTTTTTGGATGATGTATTAGAATAGGAAAAAATTGGATGTGTTGGAAGCTTTTCGATTGTAGCTAATCTTTTATTCTAAAAAAAGTTAGTATTAGTATAAATAAATAAACTAGAAACCGAAAAACAATATAAGTCCAAAGCGATAATAATAAACTCTGAAAAATCTGGTCATGTACTGTACGTACGTACGATCACATTTTTCAGGGCTGTTACAGACGAAAATGCCAAAACTCGGGTTTGATATTTCTATTATAAATTAAAATTGTAATTTTGGTTATGAAAATACCTTCGCTTCGCTCCGGACAATAAAAATACAGTATGTAATAATTAAATATATAGTATAATATATACTATGTCTATTGCCCATATAGAAAGTATTGTAAAACTTATAGCAACATGTAAATCCTTATGATTTTCTCTGTTTAAACAAGGCCGATTATGTATAGCAATGATACGCATTTCAGATATCTGCTGCATTTTTAGCAACATCTTTGTCACATGAGGATAGAGATGAAATGCTAGGAATTTGATTCTTTTTTTTTGCATTATTTGATCTTTCATTATCTTTGTCATCGTCCAAATTCGTTTCCTATAATAAAATTTTAGTTTAGTTATTAAATTTTCTAATTTAAATACATATGTAGCATTATTGTACAGTAGTCACCAAAAGTAACGCCCGATTTATTAGGTAAAAATAAAATTTTTATTTATTTTATTTTTGCATTA